GTGCAGCTGAAAAAAGAGCAAAATCAAATAGAATGGCTTAGTTCTGGGAATACAGGAGGTGGCTCTGTTTAGTTTTAAGGAAGTGAATCATCACTCAAGACATTCATCTTCACAATACGTGTAAATTTAAAATATATGGCTTAGAAATAAATGATGTTTACTGCACTTCCATGAGTTTAAATTGCCCAGTTCTGCACTTTTTGACCCGGTGCTGGTGTCCCTTGCAGCTGATGTGTTTTGCTCTGCAGTCTGGGTCATTTCCTGCTCTTAAATCTTGTCCCTCCAGCCAGGGAACTCCTTCCTCCCAGCCACTGCATCCCTTCCTGCAAATTCCCACATTGGTTTCCAGTCCTTCTAAATACAAGAGATTGGTCAATCTTTGCTACAGTAAATAAACCATGGATAGTACTTTTAATCTTATTATTTGCCTGTATTTTGTGTGTGTAGTTCCATTGTTTCCATGGAATACTGACTGCATTATCTCCAGCGTGGGAATGAGTGCACTGGGACACTTGGCAGGACAAGTCACTTGAGTGTCCCTCTCAAGTTAAGTGGCATCAGAGCAATGGAATAGCACTTTGAACGAGGAATTTTGGAAATAAGCAGTCTAACAGCACCAGGATTCTCGAGTTTCCCAGTGGATATGTCATGTACCAGGGCAGGAAGCTCCTCCTGGCCTGTGGGACCTGTCTGGAAAATAGCTCAAGTAATTATGGGGAAGCAATTAGTGGATTGCAGAGGAGGAGGGAAGAAGCTGCACAGATACCTGAAGGCCAGGATGGAAGATTTCATCTGATCCAGCAGAGCTGAGCTCAGGAGTGTGACAGCAGTGGGTAAGAGAGGAGGTAAAACAGCTCATTTTTGGATAACTGTGCTCAGGACAAGCCAGTTCAGCTTCCAAGCAATGGTTGCTCATGCCAGGTGATTGCCTCCTAACCTCATTCTAATAATGCTATCCATCATTTATTGGTTCATGCACCTCGAAGATGAACACGAAGTTAATATTATGGGAGAAGCAGTAAATTACAGAACTGTGTTTGAACACAGACCTGAGCACAAGGTAAACAAATTACAGAGTGTTCATCCCAGCCAGAGACAGGAGCAGAAGTTCTGGAGTTTATGGCACAAAACCAACCAAACAACAAAACTCAGCAGCAGCAAAAACAGAACAGAGAATGAAAAATATATTTTTTTGGAATATTGCTGGGAAATGAGTGTGAAGTTAAAAATACACCAAAAATAGATGGTAAAGGATATATCCCAAGAAAATCAAGGTTCTTTTGTGCCATACTCGTAACTGTTATATTACTGCTTTTATCTACATGTGGAAAAGTCTTAAATGAAATAATATTGAAATTGTCTTGCTTGTCTAACTTGTAACATGTCTTAAAATCCTACAGAGCAGCTGCTGTTACTATTTCATTGTGTTACAAAATTGTTCTGTATTATTCTATCTTGTAGGCTGCTGGTTTTATGGTTTTACATCCTTTTAGCTAAATCATATGAATGTAAAGAAAATAGTAGAACCACCTAAAACAACCCAGCAGGTTTTCAGTCAGAAATCCAAAGCTGTCAGTGAGGGATGGAATGAGCTCCTGTTCACTCAGCTATGAAACACAAGGAGAGAGAACCAATGAACTACACGAGTGTATAAATGGAAAATTAAAAACTCAGACCTGCTGAATGTTATTGTAAATTAATCATTAGTGAGGTGTGTTCATTGGCAAGCTCCAAGTCTGGATGGATGAGGAGCTCTTTCCCACTTCACACGTGAGGAACACACGAGGTTGTTGCACAGCAGCCTCTCCCAATGTTTGTGTATTTGTGCCTTTGCAGAAACAGCACATTTTAGGACAGCTCAGGCATTGGCAGAGACATCTATTTCTGGAGAGGCAACAGAACTACTACATTAGCAATTCCCTTCAAACTCTGCTTGTTTTTTCCTGTCAGACCTGAATTGTGTAGTGTTTCCATAATATGATCAAGATGTTTGTTTCAAGCTCTGCATATGCCACAGTTCTCCAGGTTTAATGGGGTTTTCTGAGCAACTATGGCTTCAAGCTGCTGTGGTTCTTTGTGGCATCACTGAGCATCTGCCATGCTTTTTTTGCAATTGTGTTGCTCTGTAGCCCATGACACTAAACAGATGTGATGACTCAATGATTCTGTGAAGACAGGATTTTTTGAGACCTTCCCAATAATGTGTTTGTGGTCCAACATAAATATCGATGATTTTTAACATTAGATTGAAATAGTTGATTGGTTAGTTTTTCTTTAATTACATTCAAGATGACATATTTATCAACCTTCCTCCGGAAAGATTTTTGAACTTGTTTCTGAACAAAAAAACCAAAGCAAAAAAGAGAAAACTATTTGGCCCGTGGAAATTCTTGGACACACTTTTCATGTGCATAATTTTTACAATTTCTGTCACTAACATACGATGAATTTTGAAACTTCTGGCTTAACCTGAAAGGGAGTTCAGGATGAAATCCAATCTATGTAGTATAATTGCTGCAAACACCTCAAAAACATTGGATTGTTTGGATAAGTTTCTTTGCCCACTACAGAAAACTGTGCTTTAGTTAATATAGACCATCATTAGTGAGTGTAGATTATGAGGTGCTCTGCAAAGAGTCCTCTCACCTTACAGCAGTTGTGAGAGTAAAATGAACATTTCAAAAACATCCAATATTCTGCTCAAGAGGGAATATAAAATTAACTACATCATCTTGGCCTTCAAGTCTTTGGATTATTAGGAATGATTCATGTTCTTATTTTGTTTTTTTAATGCTGTACATGTGGTTATGTATTTACACTTGTGCTCTGCATTGGTAAAGTGGATAAATGTCACTTAAGTGCCCTCATGAAATAAAAATCCTCCTAAGTCCTTCCAGAACTTCCAGCACGATCATTGCCCACCCTGCAGCCACTGAAACACTTCTATTAGATTAAAATAAAAAAGCAGCTTCATTCCATGTTATTCCTGTTGTTTTTCTCGTGCATTTGCCTCCTCCTTGTCCTCTATTTGAAGTTACTACGGCAACCTGTCACCATGTGCCTTTGCAGAGTGTGCTTTAGTTGCTAGGTGTTGAAGTTTGGCATCTTACTCACATCCCCCTGATGTGCCTCAGCTGTTTCTTTTCCTGAAAATGTTGCACCCACAGCTGATCTGCACTTTTGCAGCCGTGGAAGAGATTCCACCTTCTTCCTGCTTGACCTTAGGGAGCCCTGTTTGTGTTACAGGATCAATCTGGGATTCCTTTTGCTGTACTTCGTATACACTCCACCAAAATAGAATTTCTTTTGCCTTACCCCCCACTTTGCAGTGTTTATAGTAAAGGCAGCATTTTAGTTCATTTCAATATTATCTTTTTTTTTTAAGTGGACAGAGGGTTTGAATGTCTCGTGACATGTTTTCCCCTCTCACTTTCACTTGACTACCTCTTTACTCCTGGCTGAAGTTCATACTGTTGATTTCCTTATTTCTTTACAGATTTTTGAAAGGCTGTCAGAGAACTATCTATTATTTAAAAAATAGAATTCAGCGCTGTTTCTGTTCTGGGTTCTTTTGTATTTCAATAGAAATGAATGTTTTCAAGTTGAAAAACATATTTTATTAAATCTCTTCATAGTAGTGCTGACTTGCTTCTCTTTGCATTGTCTCAGCAGTCAAGTGTTTATTTTTATACATTTATTTTTTATGCATTTGACCTAGTTCTAATCAACATTTTCTGCTGTAATTCACAGGATAAATCCTAACAAGCCAAAGCACAGCTGAAATGACTTGTTAGGATTCCACCTGAACTTCACCTTGTCTGCCTTCCCTGTTACACCATTCAATCCCTACGTCCAATGCTTGACTTAATAAGTTTTTAAACATAAGCATTAGTTTGTGGTGTGACTCTGAATTTCTTCTGTCTGTCCAGTGAACCTGCAGCTGATCCAAGTGTGAGAGCTGGTTCTTGGGCAGAACTTACTGCATTTACAAGCAGTTCATGCTCTTTGCACATTCCATTGAGAGGCACTTAAACCACAGAGGAGAATTTCAGTGAACACCCAGAGATATTTGCAGATCTGATCACAGCTGTGAAGAACCCTCTATTACCCTTAAGTTCTGCCAGTGAGAATGGCAATGCTGGGAGGGAGGGAGGAGGGGAGAGGGCACTTCAGAGATCCGAGTCTGCCTCTGAGAAGTGAATCTTTCTTGCTCGTGTTCGGGGATTAGGAGGGAGGGGCAAGCTTTTAACCTATAAAGATGCTAGCAGCTGATTTCTGATAGTTGAGATTGCTGGCGAGAAAATGCCTCAAGATCAAACTGTAGTTGTGTATTTTCCTGCTTTACAGTTATGTGGAAATGATGGAAGAAGTTTTCGTAGCAAATCATCTTTACTGTCACTTTTTTTTGTGTACCATTCAGCCCCACTGAGGTGAATTTGACAGCTTGGGTGCAATCACAGCAATAGGTGGTCTCTGCTTATTTTCAAGGCATGCTATAATCTGTTAATTTTTAAATCACCTTACCCAGTCACTAAGAACAGGCATTCATGCTGTACCATAATCACACATATAGACACATTTTTCGAAGTTGGTTTTAACAAAGGAAATAACCTTCTTAAAGTCTGTGTACCTTTAAGCAACATAATACATCCATTCAATGCTCATGAAAAAATGCTACTTATTTCTACCAGTGATTTTTTAACCTGAGTCTAGAAAGGCATTCAGTGGTGAATGCTTAACTACTGAAAATACAAGCTGCTTTTCATGGCAATTCTCTAACTTCTGCTGGTTATCTTTTTTAAAAATCAAGGCATGAGAAGAAAACCCCCACACAATTTCAGCACTGAATCCCTTGCAATTCATTATTCCTCTCAGCTATGCATTGAACATCACAGAATAGATTTGTCTGCTCCAGAACTGTAAAAGTGAACTACTACTGCGGGAAACCCAGCATTGCTTTTTAGAAGAGCATCAGTACCCGAGAACACACGATTTCTTACCTGAAAAGCTTTTGGGTTACCTGCAGAAAATGTGTCTTCTTAGCCTTAAAAAAGTAGGCAAGGCTCTCACTGGCATTACTGTTACTCCAAAAGAAGGTATTTTAGGTCCTTTAGGTTGTAATTTTCACCGGTTGTATGCAAGAAGTGTGCTGGGTCTGCTCACGTAGGAATAAATAAATAAAAAACAGGCAGCACGAACCGAACAGCAGCTCATGGAGGGAAGAACAAGACCTCTAGTGGTCACAGCCTGGAGCTGAGGAAGGAACGATTCCCTCCTCTGGAGTGGGGACAAAATGGTTGGGTGCGACAGTGCAGCCGAGACCTGGTAACGTGTCCCTGATGTAACAGAGGGATAAAGGGAACCAGAGTCAAATAGAGACTCTAAGCAGCACCAGGGGGAAACCAAATTCTGCTCAGAGGGGCTGCTGAGCCCCTGGGATCAGTTCTGACCCACCACAGTGAAAAGATTCAAGGAAATCTAGAACGTTATTTTACACACTCAACTTCATCGTCTCGTTAGAACAAAGTCAAAGCGTTTAAATCAGGGTCACTTTTAAAACTTCAGCAATTTAAAAGGCGTCAATAAGGAGGATTCTTCCAATAAGGAGGATTCTTCACCATCTGATAGGAAAATTTCAAATCATTGCTGTTATTGTTGGGAGAGAAATTTCTTTGTGGCTTTCAGTAAATTACATGAAAACACAGGATTACAAATCACGTTGTGGATTTCGGCATTTTGACTTCAGGACTTCGGGAAAATAAAATGTTTCCTTTTGAGGGATTCGAAAGAAGTTTTGAGTTATGAAGGTCATAGTATTATATGGAAGTTTGAGAGTTCTGTAATAGCTGCTTAAACACCTGCAGAATGCAAAAAATGGCATTTCTTGCTGTCAATATCGTGTGCTTTTAGAATGATTAGAAAATTTTGATGCTAACATATTTTCTTCCTATGAATTTGTAAGGGAAGACTCCTAGACAACTTCATGTGCTTTTTAGCAGTCTTAAGGTGATACTGAGTTGTACTTTATTATATATAAATTTATATTTTATTATATATAAAGTTTTCTTGTCACAAAGTGTGTTTCCATGTGGCAGGGCAGCTTCTGAATGACCTTTTTCAAGTTCTTATCATATTTCTTTTATTTGGGTTTGCAAAAGCTTGAATGTTATTTATTTTTGCACACGTAAATGGATTTATCAGTCATTTTGAGTACTCCAGCCTCAGAAAGAGTACAGTCCAACACCATAAGTGATCCACCTGTGTTGATTTGTGTCTGGTTTGCTTTCAGAGTCATTTTGTGGCATGCATGACAGCCATCCTGAACCAGATGAGTGACCAGCATTATTCAGTGTACATTGAAACTTTTCAGACAAGCTCAGAACTAGTGGTGAGTACTAATTCTAAGTATTTAATTTCCTGTGAAAAAGCAGGGGTATTTTTGTGGAGTATCCTATTTGATTCTTCCTAGTATGAATTCTGTTTCTGTACATTTTCTGTCTCTGTGTCATTGTGTTCCCTCCCTCTTCTAATGGTGACATTGGATGACTTTGTAAATGTTGGAAGGACCCAAATGTCTCCTGTTGACCCTGGCACCGAGGTAGTGATGTAATGATCAAGAATAAGTCATGGGATCCTTGTGCTGAACTGTTCTGTGGAGGGAAAAACCCAAACCAACAAAAAACCCCAACAAAATCAGTCCTCAACTAGTTGAACCCTCCCTCCCACTTCACTCATTTCCACTTTTCATTTTCACTGTTGTGTCTACTCCTACTCTGGATAATGTTGTAAGATAAATGCAGTAAATTCCCTATTCTTGCAGTGCATCCTTTCATGTCAGTTGTTTACAGCATAATTTATTGATACTTGGGGTACATTCTAGTTTGTGCCAGGGGTCACTGTGTTCTGGGAGGTTTCCATAGTCTTATGTCTGTCTTTTTATACTCCTGACATAACTCTGAAGTAAGTCGGGCTACTGGCAAATGTTTTGATTGCACCATCAGTCCAATCCTGGACAGTTTGTCCATGGAGGCACTACTTGCAGTTGTCAAGAACTGACCACTTTCCCCTCTTTCTTGAAGTCAGAGTGGTGCCATAACTGGAATGCTAAATGTGGACTAAAATAAAAAAAAATCTGGTGTTTTTCAAATCTGTTTATTCTTTATGCCTAGTGAGGTTGTTTTCTTAATTCATAAAAAAAAATTCAACAATTTTACTCCAAACTTTTAGTTGTTTATTACAGCTTCTTCAATTCCTCTCTGCCTTCATTTTCTTAAGATCCCAAGGTAATGACTTCAATGTAATGACTTTTAGCTTTGACTTGGAGACATTTCATTTCTGAGAGTCCTGTTCTGTAAGACTGCAGTTCCAATCTTGGCCTTACTGGTATCACCAAGAATTCTTCTATTGGCTTCACTGAGAGCAAAGTGGAGCAGAAACTGTGTTTTCCACGGCCACAGACTGACAATATTTTGTTATTCTAGGACTTCTTGATGGAAACATTCATAATGTTCAAAGATCTCATTGGGAAGAACGTTTACCCTTCGGACTGGATGGCAATGAGCATGGTGCAGAACAGGTAAAATGGGGATGGAGGAGCAGAGCTCACATTCCACATCCTTTTGCAAATTGAATCACTTCATGTCTTACAAAAAGCTTTGCAGTGCAGTCTAAGACTGTTCTGTCATTCCAGTTTGGGGGATGCCAAGAAGTTCATCTGAAATAATGTGCTGATAATCAATTAGATAGCTTGTTGCCTGTGTTTTAAGTCTACTTACAATGGAAAGAAAAAAAAGTTGTATTTAACAGTAAAGTGGAAGTACATAGCTGGCCTTAATGTTGACAGTCAGCAGAAGCCAAGCTGTCAAAGGTCAGGTGAGTCTTACATGTCCAATTGCACAAGATGAGAATGTCCCCACTAATATGTCAGCAAATTCATTAGGGTGCCAAAAATATCAAATATCTGAACCATTATGGGTTGCTAAAAGGTCTGATGATAAAGACCAAATCTTTGGGTGCCACACACTATTTGCAGGAGGAGGTTGATGGTGTTTGCTGTAGTTCACATCACTGAGGGAATGTATTGCTGTACTAGGGATAATTTGGGGTTTCATCATGATTGATTACTCCAAACTCAGGTATATTCCCTCTGCAGATGCAGATGGCACTGAAACAGGAGTTATCTGCTCCATGAGAGCTGTCTGTGAGTACCTCATACTATAAAATCCACTACAGGATTATCTTACGGACATAAACTGTGCAGGTTGTACAGCTTCACCCACAGCTATAAATGATGGTGGGACACTCAAATTATTGTATGATCTCTGTTCTGCCACAGGACTGCTCTTGTCTTGCTGTTCAGGTTGCAAGTAGCACAACCAAAGTTTCATGTCATGTAGATTTTGCCATCATATGAGCTTATTTTCATTTTCATATCATGTGATACTGGATAGGAAAGAAAAGTGACCTTTATGCACCTCCATCATTGATAATGGTTTTGGACAGATGGCTTGGGACAGCTTTTCACAGATGGATTCCTTCAGAGTAGCTTTAAATATTGCTTGTTTGAAGAGGGAGGAAATGTTCTTCCTTGAGGTGTGAGTTTTCTTGCTAATTATGGGCATCAGCTAGAAATAAATGTTTTGGCAACAAGGGAAGGTGAGTAGATAAGGTACAGGATGGACTATGAGAGAGTTTATCTCATAATAATTGTTCCTGGACCTTCTGAGGTACTGATTTCATTCTTTTTGTGTCTCTAGTCTGTAACAGTGAAAGAAAAAGAGATTTGGACTGAGAATGCAAAGCCAACAACACGGCTGCTCTAAGCAAAGTTAGTTCAATTTGTTTACTTGGGGAAGTGGCAGGTGAGGAAAAGTTTCCTCAATATTTAAACACATAGAAGTTTTTACAATCATCTGTGTGTGTAGGAGAAATGATATAAAAAATAGCCACGAGCATGGGACCAACTTCCCTTGTGAAATTTTATTTTTCTTTGCTGGATTTCCTCCTCTTCATACTTCATGGAAATCATGGCTAAAAATCTCACTGAAAGGAATCTGGATGGGGGGTAGAATCACTTAATTTACATTTCTTAATTTATTTGGATGTTACCTTTACAACTGAGCTTCTTCTTCTCAAAGAAACGCTCTGAGTTAGATGGTGGATTAGATTATGAAGTGAATACATTTTTTTTGGAGCAAGATTTCTGTTGACAGTCACCTGCACTATCATTGTTTTAGTTTTGTAGAAATGATGGTAACATTGGGCTTTCTAGAAGTCCCAGAGAGACTGGTCTAAGAATTAGGTCTCAAAGGTACATAGGTTTCAATTCACTTAGAAGTGCACACGTGCTGTTTGTTTGCAATGCCACAGGTCTGTAATTTTACTCTCCCAGTTTTATGATGTAAAAAAGGAGAGGACAGAGGATACTTAAGGAAGCTGATGACCCCCTGGGATGCCTCAGGTGCCCAAGCCTCGTTTCATCACTACACTGAAGCTCATGCAGAGGGATCACTGACCCCTCCTCTGAGCTGGGGAGGTGCAGATCTGGTGCTGGATGTTTTCATTTATAAATTACAGCAGTTTCATCCCACTTATTCTTCTGTCTGAGCCAGTCTTTGGCCTACAAGGTAAAATCTAACTCAGTGCACATTCTTATGTTGCTGCTGCTGAGATTTGCAATTATTTTTAATGTAGCAAGGATTACTCAATTTAGTCCTAAACGACCTGGCACATGGAAGCACCTCAAACCTTTCATATGTAAAACTGTTTCTCTGGTCTAGAAAATGCTGTTGACATTTGTAATAGCCACAAGTATAGGATTATTTTAGTCTATAGGGGTGGGAACTGTCTGTCCATGTTCAAAGAATATGTCTTTGGGGCTTGAGGCTTCATTTGGTGGTTTCTTTATTGCCTCAGGTGCTGACAATAAAAATCCCTTTGTGGGACTGTAGATGTCCTAATGACTCTGAACTGTGTGGGACAGATTGGTCCAGGCAGGTTTTGTTGCTCTGAGCCTCATCCCATGTAAAAAAAAAAGTCAGCATTAAAAAAACCATTATTTAGATCCTATTTAACAGCTCTTCTGTAAACACCTAAAATGACTTGGCACTGTTTATACTCCTTGATTATGTTGCAGTTCTTAAAAAATGCATGAGGAAATGAGTTATTGATCTTACTTTCGTATCTTAATTTTATGTTATATCAACAACTAGGGAGGAGGAGTTTTATCAGTCTTTATAGGAATTTTGGGTTGTTTTTTTTTCTTTGTTCAG